CACCTGCTCCTTATTCAGAGTTTTTAAGATAAGATAAGATAATTCTTTATTGTCATTGTAACAAGTACAATGTTAGATACAAGACAGTGTTGTTAGGACTTTAAGATTTAAAACACACAGAAAGACAATCAAACTGTAAGCTATAAAGTAACTAAACACAAAAATATAACCCAGATAGTAAAACCACTCCTAAAGGCCAGTAGTGCACGTTGTAACGCGTTCAGTTTGTATCGATAACGGTAACGCCCCAGTATGCCAAAATTAAGTGCCTTTCCTAAGACGTTCCTTTTTGATAAAGCTTATAGTTAGGGTTGGATCAGGTGACCCTGAGCCTTCCCTTAGTTATGCTGCTATAGGCCTAGGCTGCTGGGGGGCCCCATGATGCTCTGAGTTTCTCTCCTCTCCTCTCCTCTCCTCCCAAAAATAACACATACATGCATAAAAGATTAACAAAATGTTTAAAAAAGAAAAAATATAATGGTATTAATGTAAATTTTGGTTATGGTTTGTTTTTAACAATATGTCTTTTCCAATTTTTACAAAGAAAAAAAATCTACAAAAAAGTTTTTAATGTTGGGACATGTGCCACCAGAACAGCTTCAGTGAACCTTGTTATTGACTCTACAAGTTGTTGCTCTAAATTCTCCCGCTGGGTTGAGATCTGGTGACTGCAAAGGCTGTAATCCAGTTTAGAATTATTTTTGCTCCTTTATATATGCTGCAAACTATTGGATAGCAAACAATTTTATCAACTGAAGTCATTATTATTATTATTATTAGTAGTAGTAGTAGTAGTAACATCAGTCGCAATAGAAACAATGAGTGGTTAAGTTAAGTTATATTAAAAATATACCAAACTAACCTTGTTTTGTGTAAAATTTAATTTGGCAGTAGACTGAAAAAGATGTTAATCCTTAACCACCCCCCAACAAAACTTTAAGATACAGTTTTTTGGACCAGTAAAGTGTTCATTAACCTTTGCATCCATATGTGACATAAGAAGTTATTTGAATGAGTGGTACTGCATATATTGTTTCCCATAATATGTTACTGTGACTCAAAAACTGTAAGTATAACCTTGTTTCTTTGTTTTATCAGCCCTTGAACTTGTTGTGGCGTTGCACCATCTGGTGGAAAAACTAAGGATTACTTTTTGAGTAGAATTTGTATTTGGCCCAGAAGAGGATTATTTTTTTCTGATGCACCCCTGAATCTAGAAAACACATGTTCAGCAATAGTCATTACAACCCATGTACACATAGAGCAAACGTGTATAACACTCTGTAAACATATTAATATAAATTTTAGATATTACAATGCAGTACAACAGCACATTCTTACATTATTTAGTTAGCAAGTGTTTCAAAGGTTTCCTTCAATAAAGACAAACAGTGTAGGTTTTTATATCAATGTATTAATGTTTTATTTTAATTACTATAAACAGAATATATCAGTCCCTTATTTGTACAAAAATACCTGAAAAGGTTACAATTAAGATTTATAAGCCATTCAACTATTTACAAATTGAAGCAAAGAACATTATGAATACAGGAGCTCTCTCTTACAAAAAGAGAAAAGTTACAGTTTTCTTTTTTGCATTCCCTGAAATACATAATAGTTGATATTTTTATATATAGATATTTTTTTTACTTTACTAATTTGTACAGCCATGGTATCTTGCACTGTGACAACATCATGAAAACACAAAAGAACCAAGATGATAACTGATCAGTTCATCTTTGCAGGATTGGGCCAATTCACTTTCAGCTCCAAGAGTAAACAGATCAGCACCTGCCAATACAAGCAATCAATCTTAATCGCCTTTACCAAAATCATTTCCGAGTACTTAATGAAATTACTATTTTTTTTTAAGTATTTATGCATTCACTTATTTGTGGAGTGTGACTAGTCCTCTCTGAAGTATAGCTGTGCCTGCCATTCGGTCCAAATGTTGAGTCCGATTTATGCAGAGGCACAGGGTGGTCACAGGTCACCTGGCTACCAAAACTGACACTGTGCTGTACTGTCAATTATTTTGACTGACTTGATCATCTCTATAACACAGAATAAGAGAAATCAGGTTAAATAATTATTTGTTGTAACTTACTAGAACTGATAGATGTTGTTGCCCAGTCTAATAACTGAGGTTGAATTGGTAAAGCTGTTGGTGATCAGCTCAGGTAGCCAAGCAGTTATTAAACTAAACATACTCTTAAATAGTATCTGATGTACTTAATTTTGCTGCAGGAATATTTTTCAAGTAATCACAACTAGCAGATGGGTGGTGCAAATAATAGAGATAAGTTCATAGATCTCAGCTTAAGGAAACTAAAATATTCATCATTCATTCATCCTGCACATAAAATCCTAGAGCTTTGATGGACCAGTAGTTTGAACATGCCCCAAGTCAACCCTGAGCAACATTACATTCAATTCTGCTAAGTGTAAAAATGTGGACATCCAGATGTATTTGTCCATGCGTTCACTAAGTGAATTTACTTTCCATCTTTTGCATCTAGAGCAAGTAAGACCCTGTGACAATTATTATGCAAATACTAGCTCCACCTTACAAAGCTACCTGACATGCACTTCACATGCTCAGTTTGTTCCTGTTCAACATCTGATGCCAGTCAAATAATAACATATAATGATGGGACTTTGAGGATGAGGGTAGATGGAACCTCAGGGGACTTATAGTACGCCGAAACAACTAGCATCAATAATTCAGTGATGCCTCAATACTTTAAAATGACTTTCATCATCTATGGGAGATTATGTGGATTATGTGTGGAGGGGGAATTGTTATGTAGTTCTTCAGTTCTAAGCATTTAAAGAGTTTCACTGACAAGGTTTCACTTGAATGTGAAGATTTTTGTTTTCATAATTTCTACTATTCCTTCTTCAAGGCAAGACATGATGAATGTTGAGACTAATTTGACACAGTTTCCAAAAGCATTTGAGACCTTGTTACTTGAATTCATACTTTTCTTTTTAATTTAGGTCACCACAAGACAGTGACATTTTGCTTTGGGAAACTTTTGTTTGTATATTCACATTTCACATGTCATGTCAGACAGAAGGACAATGTTAACACTGTGGAGGCCAGTGTGCTTTTAAACATCACTTCATAACAAGTGTTGATGATGAAAAAAAATCATTTTTGAATAATTTTACCAAAAGATGGTACGTCATTACGATAATAATAATTTCAACATGGGACTGTTCAATTATTTTATGGTAATGACAAAAAACAGTACAGAACAGCACTGAGAAAAAGAAATTTTCAAGTAATCAGTCATATCCAGATAAATAAATACATTTTGCTGCAACAATACTTTTAAAAAATGATTGAGTCATTGCATCTTAGATAAATAATGACGACCGTGCACAGTGTCAATATAGTGTGGCTATTCTGCAAGTTCAATATGCCTTTAAAGACCCCGCAAGTACAGAAACAATAGTCGCTGATGGTGGTAAGTAGAAATAGATAGAAGGAATAATGTGTTGACTGGTGGCCTAAACTTAGCTATCATCAAAACGTTGACTAAAATTGTGTGAGTGTTTAAAGATTTCAGGTGCAAAAATGTGTGTGTGTGTGTGTGTGTGTGTGTGTGTGTTTGGGGGGTGGGGGGACTATGAATCTAATTCACCCGGTGGTGACAAACAAGGTTGAGTTTAAATATGAACTAAAATATAGCCAAGAACTTTGAGCACTGTCTTCTGAGATTTAAGATGTCTAGGTTTTTTCCTTCATGTGTGTCATTTAGTGTCGTTCTGCCTTAATTAATTAATCATGCTCAGCTACCATACTCAGCTAAAACAAAAGAAATCCATTAGAATACTTTTTGTGGGTTTGACTGACCTTTTCACACACACTGTAGCAGCAATTAATTTTCTGCTGATGGTCTGTTTGATTTCATAATTTGCTTGAATGCAGTTGGTGTATATGTGATACTGTTCATGCGCAAATATTTCCGGGCAGAAAAAGGCCATATGATATGGAATGGAATGTAGAGCACACTAAACGGTAGTCACATTCAAGTCTGACATCTCACTGAGTTGTATTAGGTAGGAGGTAATTACTAGAGTGCATGTGAAAAGAGGGTCAACAACCAAGACAAATGTTCCCCACAGGTTCCAAAAACTACTTAAGCCTGTGCTTAAGTAGTTTGTTTGGCAAAGAGTATTACAGATTGTGTTTTCCTTTGCACTGTGTATACATTTGACTGCAGTGAAATAAAACGTATAAAACTACTGAATATGGCTGGCCCTGCTATTTTATCCCAAAGTTAACCGGATTCAATTATCAACATTACAGTCACATCAGCTCGACCTGGTTACAGTTGTTCTATGGTTATTACTTGTTATGTTACCCTGAATGACATCATGGTCTGAGTCATGCTCATTTTGTTTTTTGTAGAAGTTGTCTGGGAAATACGTTAGGGAACAGAAGCTTGCATAAGCATAGCAAGTACAGACTGACCTTATTGTGGCTTATGTGAATAATGAAGAGTTGCAAATATCAAGAATTCATAAAGCGGACTGAAAACATTATTATTAAAGAGAATATCGATGACAATACACAAATGTAATGAATGTATCAATAAGAAAATAAACCCTGTGTGGTCAGAGATGAGCAAATAAATTTCTGAGACAATCCAGATTTTTCTATTGTCCCTTGTTAAAAAAAATACTTTGTTTTAATAGTTCCAGATTTTTCCTTAGCTTCCTTCTCCAGGGTAGTTTGATGTGACAAACGTCTTAAGTCTCCAACTCTTAAAGGATTCAAAAGTAGGACAGGTTCTTGTTCCTCCAGATCTCCTCCATGTTGATTTTGGACATGTCCTTACATGCCTATGACAATAGAGAGCCGTAGCACCAGCTCACAGTTAAACAATGCAACAGCAAAAAGGTCATGCACCATTAAGGCCACTCCCAGTTCAATGAGTGCAAAACTACAAGACAATCAACTTTCCATTTACAATATATTCTTTGAGGATGTGTGATGAAAAGTTTGAAGTCTGTTCTCAGAGAGCAGAGTGGTCCACACGAAAGCTTGAATGTCCTGCTGATTGTCCAGTTTAAGGGAAATACAGCCTGTATTTGAGCTGTGTGAAAAACACTTGAGGGTCTCTCGGTCCAAGCTTATTGATGACTATGGGTACATTGTGGAAGATTTTGCAATAGCATTGACACAAATGGCAGTGTTCATTTCCTTTTCCTTAACTGAGAAAAATCATGGACAGGTTGCGCATCCAACTCTTCAAACATCCATGCAAATTCAATAAAATCCAACAAGTCCGCAGGCCCCGGCGGACTCGCAACAATATAAAACGGCAACAATCAAACAGTCAATTCACCAGCTTCTTATAAACGTTAACACAAAAGAATCACCCAACAAAAAAGATTCTTCTGGTTTTGTTTGTTTTAGGGAGAGTCAGGTCAAGTGACAGGGGTCAGTTGTTCCAAAGACGTCATAAGGCCACAACTGTGCACGGGTGTTTGAGTTTACAAGGCAGCACTCCTCTGTTGAGCTGGTAGAACTCCACCAGCTGAATCAGGTCGGTGAATTTGGTGGCGCCGTCGTCAAGGCTGAAGAAGACTTGGCCATCCTCTTCACACTGGCAGCATCAAAGTGTCCAGAAAAGCGTGAGCAGAGATGCCACATGGCAACAGAACAGAAAGGACAAAAAGGAACATCACAGTTATTTGACATGTTTGGGCCTTTTTTAATTAACAAATGTTACCCATACCATCATTTTTTTTTCCACTGCTTCCCTACATTCTAGACAGGCATAGGTTTGGAACAACCTTTTTATTCAAGTAAGACCAAACTGACATTATCCTTTAAATGCTTTGCCTTAATGGTTTGCTTTCTGGGATTGACATAGCTCACAAAAACAATGCTTTTTAATAAGCAATAATATAAACTTAATGGGCCAACACATGCAAAAACATCTACAGCAGCCCTTTGCCATACTTCATTTTGATCGACACAATAATTAAGGTCAAGGCAGCTTTTATTTTCTCCCCAAAAACAACAGATTTGTCACAAAAATCTCATAGATAAATAAAAACAGCTATAGTAATAACAACCTCCAAGTTTATCGCTTGCTTCTGTATACAATATGCCCCTGCAAACTGTCAAATATCAACCTGTTGGTATCTTTTTAACCCCATTAATTGGCCAAGCATTACTCAAGTTCTCTTCCAATGTAACTTGCTGTTGTAATATATACATTCAACATACAAGGTGATCTGTTTACCAAAAGTAAAACATCTTTCAAAGCATTTTAAAAAATGGTTAAACACCATGGAATGCATACCGGTAGTATTTGGAAATGTTTGATTTTCTGGTGATGGCACAGTGTGAGTACAAACGCCTTGGGGTTACTCTGACTGACCCTCAGCAGAAACAGCCTGTAAAACAAGGGAAGGGAAAAGATTCAGTTGGCTTAACTTTCCTGTTTGCAGTAAGGAGAAAAGAAAAAAACAAACAAAAAAACAAAACAAAAACCTTATCGCTATCCATAGTCAGTGAACATCAAAACCGCATGCAAAAAGACTGCCCTTGCTCACTTACCCGTCTACTTGTCCCTGCTGATGGATAATGCGATGGGACTCTTCTCTGGTTATCCTGCCGTGGAACCACAGCTGAGCTATGTGGATGACTGCAGGGAAATAAATACAAATACATTTTAGAGTACATCGTAAAAATCTGTCATATTGCTTAAACTTAAAAAAACGAAATAAGTTAAAAATCAACTTTGCTGTGCTGCTGCACTGACCTGAGCTTATTGAGGAGTGGTGCAGTGGACTGTGGGAGCCTAATATGTTCATTCGTTGACTCCTCTTCTGAGAGAGATGCCACACAGAGACAACAAAACAGGGATTAGTTCATCATTTGCTATAGATGACTGACTGTTCAGGGTGGGTAATTTTACTGTATTTGTTGGGGGTTTTTTTTTTCCAAACACATGATGAAGCTGCACATTTCTTAACAGTGTAAAAAAGCTAAATGTACCAAATACTTAACAAAAGAGGAGGTCAACTATCACTGCTATATAGTACATTTTTGTCTAACCTTAAATCGGGAAATGACACTAGATTAAACTAAATTTAAGATGGTCCAAAGCCATTTGAATAAAACTGAAACTTTTTATTTTGAGAGCTGCCTCACAGCCATGTCAGCCTTATGAATACACACTTCCTGTATGAATGAGAAATATAAAGAGGGCCTCCTGTCCTAGAATTCTTGACAGAGATAACAGTAAAACTGAGGTTGTGTCTCACCCTCCATGCATGTCCCTCCTCCATGGCAGCGCTCTGAGCTTCCACAGGGTTGTCAATCACCCTGCCTATCCTCCCTGAGAAATCCATTGCCACAAGGGAGTTCTCTGATACACTCCGCTAGGGGGAGACACACAGACACATGACAATGTGAATGCAAAGGCAAGAAACGTGCCAGGGTGCAGCTATGTGCAAACCTAGACAAAGGTGGTGCAATTACATGTAAATGTGGCGGGTACACCGGTTAACATTCTGACAAACGTCTGCTAAACTTGTCAAACCAGTTTGTTAGCTGTTCTTGGTGCATACATGACAAAAGCACTGGATGTTTTTCATTGTATTTATGTCGCAACAGTTCAGTGATATCAATTTTAAGGTGCTTTAATGGAATTGTGATGTAGAAGTGAACTTACCACAGGTGCTGAGAAGTGTGAAAGTAAAGTTTTCCTTTGCTGAGGAATCTTATAGTTCTGGTACAGTACAATCCCATACTATAAAAAAGAGAAGACACTGTTAAACCAACACTATTAAAATTCTTAACAAGGGTAACAATAAAGGTTTGCTGGTAGTGCCACTGTACCTTATCGTACAGTTACCATGGTATTACCTTAAAGAGTCGGAAGGCAGTCATCCAACAGGTCCTGCCCTGTTCATCCTCAGCACACAGCATCCTCAAATCTTTCAACTCCCCTCGACCTTTATTGGGCTTCATAGAAACATTTTTTTTCTGAATTAGAATCCAGGTAATGAACTACTGATTACATGATACAGCATTAATCTCACTACCTCCACCAATAAACCAGAGCCTCAGCACTCATCTTAGTGCATATGCAAACAAACGACCATCTCATGAGATGCACAGGTTGTCAGTCATTGGAAATCAGTTTCACTTCACCGCTTCCATCTCTGAGACTCACCTTGATGCAGAACCCGTAGTCTGTGGGTGCACCGTGCTGCTTTTTGCCTGTGATGACAGTGAAGATGTTGCTGTCTTCTAGGTCTGCTAGTAACTGTAGATGTCTGGGCTCCTGCAGACAGAAATCATCGGAGCACTTCAGAGAGAGACACAGTCTGGAGGTGCAATGAGAGATGTTCTGTATGCAGTGAGACCACCACAAGCTGATTCTTTGAGTGTAATTATGTTTAATCTGGAAAATGTGCTATGTTATTAACAAAAATTGTTTGTATACTATGCTTATTCATTCTTAATTGATAAAATATTAATGCAAGTACACACTAAAATATAATTACATGTTATAAAATTACAATGAAATATATTCTGTCACTTGAAGATGAAAAGACTGGGCTGTGTTACCTTTGAGGTTCCTTTTGTAGAACAGTAGAGTCCTGAGCGCCGCAGGAACATGTAAACTTTCTTCCATGACTTCCGACCCACGTCTTTCACATACAGGTGCCCCTGGATCTCCGGATAGCTGCTGGTTGCTAGAAAGTTCTGCAAGAAGGAGGAAGAAAGACATGAAGCGGGGGATAAGCACACAAAATAATTCATTTATTCACTCTGTAATGTTCTCCATCAAGGACTCTGCCTCAGGAGGGCAACACTGCACCCCGTCTGAAGCATACTGTATAAGCTCTCTGTCACTTGTCACTGAAAGCAGCAGCAGACACCATCTGTACAGGAATCCGAGACAGGAGGCCATTGCTTTTTAACAGAGTGTCATCTGGGCTTCTTGCATTACTGCAAGACTGACAGCTGATGGCTGAGATGGGAGGCAGCTTCAATTCTCACACACTATTGTAGCAACCACGATCAGGCCAGCCACTGGTTTAAAAATCATAGGGTATAGTGCACTAAAGACACTGTACTGTGTGTACACTCACTGGCCATCACTCACTGTGACCTCACCTCTAGAACACATAATTAAATCAGCATCTCAATAACACTGTGCCAACATTACTGTGAAAACAGTTGTAGTGGATCACATTAGCCTTCACAGGTGACCCTAACAGAGTGGACACTGAGTGGTATGCATATACATACATAAGCATGCAGTATACATATAATGTACAGTATGCATGTTTTGAGTTGGGCCTGTAATTAATTCCTAAAATATTCTTAGATTCTATTTTGAAGCTAAAAGGGGAAAAAAACAAATCTAATCATGATGTATCATGTTATACAATGTGCCTGTCAAATACAGTTCATTACAATGAATCAACACCCAGAACGTTCCTACTGGGAACCCTCAAAGCTATGATTGGCATGTGGCTGTCTGAAGTACGTGGAATTTGTGATTTTCTTGTTTCACAAAAATATCACACCATGAACTGGCAGGTTATGTTATTAGCGCTGAAATGGAATTCATGACTTGTGGCTGGAAGGTAAACCGTTTCAGAACACTCTGACATTTAAAGCACATGTTTCCCAGTGTTTTGGAAACATCCTACAGTAGGTCTCATGCATGAGCAAGTTCTGACATTTGCAGAGTGCGTGTTTACACGCGACATTCATTCAAAACGCTTTTTGTGCTGTTGTTTATGAGACACTACACCTTACCCTTTTGCACTGACGTATGGTTCTTGGACAGTGGCAAATATTGCAAACACCTGGTTGAGCTCAGGTCAGAAAATGCCTTGGATCAGACAGCTCTGTAACTGAGTGCAAAGAGCTTGGCTTTAGAATAAGTCAAACACCAGGGATTCCTGACGCAGCTCTGGGTCAACCCATTCCCATTCATTTACTGACTCCTCTACAAAGCTTAATGGAGCACAACGTCTATATGATCAGCAGGAGAGTTAAAAGCTTTCCATGAGTGGCAAGGGTGAAGGGACTGATTGCACTTGTGGTTTCGTCTCAGACAGCTGCATTACATGATGGAGGAGAGAGCCAGGCTGCATGAGGACCAAAGCTCTTCAAAGTCCCCGCAATCCTTTAGGCAATGCTCCTCTGACTTTTGTTTTTCTTCATTCATTTTGTGAAATCACTACATGGTCGGTGAGTGGTCTGTGAGAATGATAAGAAACATGACACGTGTGAATTTGTACTGAGCAAACACAAGGCTGATTCTATTTCTGACTGCCTAATTCCATCCATCGTAAGTGTTGGGCCTGCGGTGTGCGTGCCGAGACGGTCATGTGTCAGCAGGGGATCAGCAGTGGTTATTACTGCAGGTTCTGACGAGACACGCTGTCTAAGGGTCAGAGGTGAGGTACGTAGCAGTTGATTGTACAGTGTGTAGCAGGTGCTGACTCTGAGGTAAACTAACGTGTGCGTGACAGGAAGAAGAAAGAGAATTAGAGGCGGACGCAGTGAGAAACGTGTCTGTGTCTGTCTGTCTGTCACGTGTGTGTGTGCACGTGCTCTATATACCTTAAGGAGCTGAGATGGTGGAATCGTGCGATTGGTTTCCTGGCACCATGCAACCATGTGCTCCGGGAAAAATGTCTGGTGGAAGAAGAAGGTGGAGAGAGGCGGAGGCGGACAGACAAAGACAGAGACAGAGAATATCAGCCAGTGTGACACTAATTATAGGGTCGGAATTTGTGACAAACAAAGAAACGTCAACAAATCAATTTAGCACAGTCAGCTGTCATAATATTTCACAAGAAAACAAAATGAAGAGAGACACTTTGTCAAGGAACATTTCATGTCTGAAGCAAATGTTCACTCTTTAGACCAAATAAATACTATTTACTTTTTTTTATATTTTTTGTGCTCGAAATACCAGCGGTTGCATTTTGGTCATCATACCTTTATGTAGTTCATTTTAAAATGTCTAAAAATAATAATAATAAGTAAAACATTACTGTAACAACCTCT